CTTTATTACAACAAATACAGAATATTTTTTGGAATATACAGAGACGTACACACAGGCCAGTAGTTGGCTTGTCTATATTTCAGTGCAAACGAGAGTTGATATTTATAAGAGCTGTGTCGCTAATGTGTTACCAGGAATATATGGCCCTTATTTCGTCTCTATTTCTGGTTATATACCTGATGCTGTGGTCCAAATAGAAAGAAATGTAATACCTACCAAAGCTGGTCGTATAGAAATTATAGGTTATTGCGATGCGTCAGTAAAATCCTATGGAGCATCGAATATACAAAATTCGAGTTATTCATTCGAATAATGTGCCAATGAAGCTGCTTTCCAGCAAATTTAGAGTAGCGCCTATCAAAAATGAACTGACTGCACCAAAGCTAAAGCTAAACGCCGCCTTGCTGTTGGCTCGATTGTACGAGAAAATCAAATCGATTATAGTAAAAAATAAATGTAATGCTGTGTATACTTGTTTTCTGATTCAATAGTAATTCTGTGTTGGATAAGTTCAAACAAAGCTAACTTGCCAGCATACATTAAAAATAGAGTTGATATAATAAAAAATATGACTAAAGATTGTGAATGGGGTCATGTTGCTGCGACGAGCGATCCGGCAGACTGTTTGTCTCGCGGCTGCGATCCGTCAAATATCTATAAAAATGAGTTGTGTGGTGGTACGGGCCCCCTGAAATGTCAAACGCCGTCCGCGTTCATCCCCTTTCCTCTGCTTCACAAGTTTGTAATCATATATCATGCGTAGTGCTCTAGCTTGTTTGATCGTCTTACCACAAGAACCATCTTTATTTAAGAAATATTCATCTTGGATTAAGTTATAAAAAATAGTTGCTGGATATTTCGATTTTTCTCATAATTGTTATAATAAAAATAATAAAATCAAAACCAGTTTCACAGTTTCAGAATTGAAGCAATCACAATTCAAGATAATTTTAAGATAATTTAAATTTCCTTAGTGCAGGGTCAATATTTCGATAAGGAGATTCACCAGCCCAAATATTAGAAAGAAGCTTGGTACTTCTTAAACATATAGTTCGTTCACGAACCAATCATTCTGTGTACATTCACTCATTCCCTCTCTCTTCATTCTCTTCTTTTCACGATATGTTGGCCTTGCACGTTTTCATAAAAATTAAATATATGAAGAAAGAGCGCTTTTCGGCTTATCAGGGCAGTATTAGCGGATTACATTAATAATAATAATAAATAAAATTATTTATTAAATAACTTATTGTACAAATTAATAACTAAAGACTAATTATGCGAATAAATGTAAAATATGACACATATAACTGAACAAAATCCTGTATTTCAGGTAAAAAGTACTAAAATAAATTATACAGGATATATGATTAAATTATAAACAAAAAAAAAACTAACAATAAAATGCATATTAATTATCTTACACGCGAATCATATACCTATTAGACAACATTTATTTTGGGATAATTAATAATTCTCTGTATCATCGTAGACATATTTTGAAGGAATTCTTGGAGAATTTTTTTAACCGTTTTGTAACAAAAATGATATACCTATGGCTAATTTGGCGTTTAATTTATTGTACAAAAATGGCCCAAGAAACACAAAAAATTTGGAAATAAAGATTCTAGATGCTAAAAATATTGCTTTTATTTAGAAATGAACATTGTATTCTAAAATTATTTCTACACCAAATACTAAGGATAGCTGCAGAATATTAAGAAGGAAATAATTATATCTTTTTTTATTTAAAAAGCGACCTCAAATTACTCAAATCACATGTAAATAAGGTTTGAAATCGATTAACGGAAAGTGGGTGAATATCAGTAAACTGGACAGCCACTCTTAGAGCGTTTGCGCAGTACGGCCCATTCGTATCAGTTCTAAATCCAAGAAATGACGGATTGAAATGTCACAGGGATCATCAGCTTGATTTTGATTGCCTCTCGCGATCGGAAATTGTCTTCGTCTTTTCTTTTTTTATTTTATTTTTAATTAGACCCGCCGCGTGCTCCTGACCAGAAACTACGCTAACTGTGTGTTTCACGCTTTAATGATATGCAATACATTTCTTTTATACGGATGTTTCAACTTCAGCAACTAATGTAAATAGGTTTTACCAACCAGTAATTTAGTGCTTTCCTTGTCATTTGAAGGCTATAAAAATAACAGGATTTTATTCTCATAGCAGTGTAATTAATTTTGTTTACAGAAATACCGAGTTTTAGCCGTGGGGCGACGGCTTAAGAATACATTGTCGCCTCCCCATACATGCCCGTGGGGGTCGTAAGAGGCGACCGAGGGCGTCACAAGTGTCCATCTGCTTAGCATTGTGGTAGGCTCTGTGCCGACTGGATAGCGACCACAGTATACACGGCGGAAAACCCTCCACAGTGAAACGCTTTTGCGAATCGCGTTCAGGGATCAGTTGGTGTACATCCATAGTGCATTTGGCCAGACCGGCAAAATGATAGTGACGGAGTGAAGATATTTGTGTTTTCCATCCGTTACTCTCATCTCTGGACTGTATTCGCACTTTCCATCAGGCGCGGTGCAGTCATTTTGTCGAGTCGCAATAAAAAAAAAAAAAAAAAAAAAAAAGTTACCCAGACGGTAAGTTAAACATTCATATTCCATCAGAATGTAACTGTGCAACCATCGGAACATTTGATAAAAATTAACCTTGCCCTAAGAGCGGTGCTAGCTCATTGGAAGTACCGTTGCTTCTCAATTCAGATATTGACGGTTCGAGTCCCAGAGCCGGCACGTACCTATGGCTTTATTCCTAAGTTACGAGCATTTTCGTAATTGAATTTTATTTTTCATAATTATATTCACGTAACCATTAATGTATATTATACAACTACTAATAACTAATTGTTTTTAATAAATATAGAAAGTGGGTTTTTAAGGTGTAATATACAGAAAAAATGCACAAAGATATTTAAAATTCGGATTTACTATGAAGACTGCATAATTAAGGTCTCTTTTTTATTGTTTATTTTAATATTATCGTAGTTTAATTTACATTTGTTTTACGTGTATTGTAAACCGACTTTCAAAAAAATAGGAGGAGGTTCGATTGCATTTTTTGTATGTATGTTACGCGATTACTTTTTTACATTTGTGAATCGATTTTGATGATTTTATTTTGTTGGAAAGGGTGTACCTCAGTATTGGTTCCATTTAAATTTGAAGAAAATATTCCACCTCTACGGGTGGCAAACTAGGGGATGAATCGTGTTCCGCGCGCTTTCCTTTAACCGAATTCAATAAAACTTGGCAAATAGGCGTAATTCCAATAAAAAAGCCGACAAACAAACTTTTGGGGTCGGATTTTTTTTATAAAAAAGGTATAATTATATTAGATTAAATTGTAATGAAAATAAATTTATCTTATCTTTATTTGTGCACATTCAATAGTAATATCTCTCGTTAACGGTTTAGTAGCAGTAGAGCTCCTTGTGAAACAATTCGTCCAGGAAGTACAGCTTTACATACTTCTGCCGCCAAGCAGCAATGTGAGCATTACAACGATCCAGTTTTGAAGGGTAAGGGTGCTGATGAAATTACAGGCATATGGGACTTGTCAACTTATATCTCAGCGTGACAGGCGCAGTGGCAGTGCCCCTCAGATCTTTGCGATTTAAAAGAGCAGGCGTATCGCTTACCACCACGACTTGTTCGTCGTGTATTACAGATGACCCGCCCCTCCACACTCCTGACCAAATAATAAAATGCTTCAAAGGCCTGAATGCGTTATTTGCTACTATTATGATATATAAATGAATTCAGTCTTTTTTAATCTTACAGCGCTGACGTTACACTTTGGTACCCCTAACCTTTCGAGCTGTGTTCGGTCTACCGATTGTAATAAAAGTAAGTCATAACGTAAGGTTTTTTGTGGGTAATTTTGAAAAAGATGCAATTACCCCACAGATGCCCTTACCCTGGTTGACTTTTATACTAAATGTAAGTATGCCGTTCGTTCACGATTACGATTACTACCACGCCATAACCATGCCATAACACAGGGTGTTCGTCTTCGTCAATCGTCGGTATGATAAGAACAAAAGGAAAACATCGTATGACATCTGTGAATCGAAGTAGGTTCCACAACCCTTGGGAAACGAGTGAAGTATGAATAATTAGGATGAAGTTACATTAGCGATGATCGTTTTTGTTGTAGATTTTCTAATGTATAATATACATTTGTGATGAATAAAGTCCTAATTGTTATCTTTTTATTTATATAATAATAATGTGCCAGACAAATATACCAATTACCTGGTCTCAAACTGTGGAATCCCAGTACCACAGTACCACTTCCCAAAACACCCAGACCAGAACAAAATTTAGAAAAGTTCATTTCCCAAATTGATACTGCTGGAAATCGAACTCGGGACCTCCTCATCCAGTGCTCACAGTGCAAACAGACAAAAATCAAATGTAGGTATACGAGAAACGTGACGTATAGTACGTATAAACAGCAATTGAATATATAATGGTTGCTAATGTTGATAATGATGACTCGTAATGGGCTTACGTGCACTTTTATTTAGTTCCACTCAAAAAGTCGCCTGATAAGGTCAAATGAAATGTGGCAGGCAGTATTTGTGGTAAGTTCAAATGTATCGAACAATCAATCGCTCTGAACAGTTTGATGCTCACTGTACTAATTTCTTTTTTGGTTACTATTATTTGACTGTGAATGCCTAAGAAAAAGTTTTGATAATTATAATTTCCGGTTTCCTATTTAATTAAAAATTTATAACATATTTTTTATTATAGCTTATTATTTAAAATGAATATTTTATATTGGAGCATATTTTTAATTACGTGAACTCTTCTTTAAAATCCATTGGAATACTTATTTCTGCTAAGTATGTAATTAAAAAAATTGCGACAAATTTATTTTTATTACTGAGACAATTTAAATAGTTAATAAAATTTAGGGTAGTTTTAAAAACTATGTAAAGTTAATGAATAAAAAAACTCACCAAAAATGGGGAATGAATAATAAAATCAATCTTTATCTTAGCACTGAGCACTACACTATGTTGTCTTAAAAATAAAACACTTGATATTTTTCATGAATTATGTAACGTGATCGGCAAGACCGGGAGCGCTATCTCGCGCGCGCTCCGACCGTTTGATTTTGGAACACTGGGCAAACGAGCAATAGTGAACAAACATTCGGTCAAATTGTTTTAAATTTACCTACACGATGGTGTTGATGAACCTATTACTAGTTAACGTTAAGGTAACTTTCATTTATAGGTGAAACAAGAGTGTATTACTTTGTAGTTAATTTTACTTACGACTATACGCACATGTAATTTTCAAGTTGGAGGGAAGGCATAAAAGTTTTTGGTTAATTATACTAGGTGCAAACTTATTTATAAAAAATTGTATATGTCATTAGACATATTGGCTGTTTAAATCATTGGTAGGTAATATACCTACCTTATTGCGTTAACAAACTATTTAAATAACAACGCTAAGTTAGCACATAAAAAAATTACATATTACAAAATAAAGTTACGTACTATATCACATTCATAATTATCTACTAAAGTGTTTTGTTACTATTATACTAATACGCTGTAAAGCTTACATAAGTACGTAAAAGTACGTACTTAGATATTTAATGCATTTACTGATTACGAAAATCGATCTGATCTTTTTGAGATTATCGCATAGGCAGCGCTACATTCTATTATATGTACGCATGGAGCATATCTTCAATTTTTTTGTATAGAACTTGAGCATGAAGGAGCAGTTATGCTGCGTTCCCACTTTAACGTGACTACGGATAAATGACGTTTACGATTTTTTTGAAGTTATGGCAACAGACTGTCGAGACAATGGGAAGAGCTAGAACGACAGTCGCCTGTCGATAAATAAAACGTCACAATAAGATGTGACGACAGATAATCGCAGTTACTATTGTCGTCACGTTTTATTTATCGTTGTCTCATCTCATCCAACAGAACGTAGAGCCGGCTGCTGTGCACCAAAGGATTCTGTCGTGAAAACGACAAGGCGACTGCTGGGAACCGATAAATTGTCATCATAATCCAATGGGAACAGCAAGACATGGCAGTGGCTCAATGAAAAAAAATCCACGACACAGTCACGCCAGTCAGTCGAGGTATAGGAATAGGCTAGATGTGACAGTCGTCCAACGATAAATAAAACGTTACAACTCATGGGGACGCGTCCTAGAATCAAAAAGATGGGCCCAACTTGTTTGAATATTATGTCATATAAATACATTGTATGTACAAGTATGAAACATTATGATATTTTAAGAAGCGTGTGAGATTTTAACACATACCCTAGCAAATGCAGGCAATAGGCATACGTGCTGTGGTTGAAACAAAAGTAAAATAGACACATGCTGCCCCAGAACGTCGCCTGATGTTAAACTCTAATGTAACCGATGTGTTTGTTTAAAATATAGTAGAATATTAATTGAATCACATTCGTCAGTAATTTTTGAAAACAGGAACTGTTCTACACTTAGAGGATGGAAAAAAAGTCTAAGGTTCTACATCGTTTCCGAACTTAACATAAAGGGTTTTTAAAATAATGAGTACAGTTTTAAAATTCCAATTCAGAGTTAAAATTCCACTAATTACGAATTCAAAGTTATTGTTCAAAGTGATACGAGATAATGTGATTAAAGTGAATGTAAAACATAAATATTGACTCCCACCGCTTAAAAGACTATTTAAAAAACCCAAATGAGTGAACCAAGTTAATTAAGAGGAAGTGAAAACGTAATGTATTAGAATTTTGAACTACAATGGCAAATATTACTGAGGATCCCAATAATTAAACGAAGACATGGCTCAAAGTACTTATATCCAAGCCAAAACTATTAATAAAAAAATAATCGTAATGTCAACGTCGTGACAGTGACATTTCGCGGTGAATTCATTCTACACGTGTTGCTATCGTATTTCGGAAATTCGGATGGTGTTTTTCTGCTAATTACTCATAAATGCAGTATAATACACATTCTCTTTGTATAACATAGCAAAATGAGTCAAAAGAAGGTGCTTCAAAAGCCAACTTTAGCTTACACAAGCAATCCTGACTATCGGAAACCACCAAAAACCGCAAACCCGGTGAGTACCTATTTCATTGTTTATATGCCATTTATTCTTCATTAAACTGTATAAAAAGCTTTGTAAACGCTGAGTACAGTGTTGTACAATAATTTAAAGTGGTTATTACGTATTACAGTATCTACAATGCTTAGGAGCGCCTCATATAGATTCGTTCAACTACATGGTCGCTGATGGCCTTAAAGCAGCTTTAGCTGACTTGATACCGGCCATATTTGAGCTACCCACTGGTGAAAAGGTCAAAATAACCATTGATGAAGCCGCATTCGCAAAACCAAGTGTTCCTATGGAAGCTGTAGGCGTTAAAAACCAAAAAGTACTGCCTACAGAATGCAGGCAAAGAGCTGCGACGTACAAAGGCGATTTTAAGGTTCGCATCACTTTCACGGTTGATGGAAAGAGCATGACAGTTGATAGATCACTTGGTAATCTTCCTATAATGATTAAGGTAAGAGATTTTCAGAATAGTTCATGTTGGTTTAAGGACTTTATTTTCAGACAATATCAAAATTTAATAATTGCATTTGAGGTGTGGAGAAAAGCTATAATATTTGCTTTAATAGGGCTAGTAACAAGATCAACAACATATTTACAAAATACTTAAAACTGACATTTTAAATTGTAATATTCTTTGAGACAAATTGCATTATTAACCGGATTATTACGCCAACTATGACACTGGGTCATCATGACCCAAATTTCATTGATATTTTTTCATAAATTAAAGTAGTCTAGATTTTAATAAACACTTGTTAAAGAAATGTATTTGGGACATATAGTAAAAAAACATATTACCAATATATTGTATAAATAAATGTGTTAATAGTTTTATTTTTGGTAAAGTATTCTGAATAATAATAGTAATATTAAAAGGGCGATCACTCAAACTTAGTACTAGAAATCAGCCTTGTACTTCTTCAATCAGAGATATGGAACTGTAGCATTTATATAGTACTTGATAGACACTTGTGATCCGGGTATATGCAAAATATTTGGAGATATATGCTTGCTCCAAATTATTTAGGTAGAATATTTTCGAGTCTACTAAAACAAATATTTTCTAAGTATATTCTTCCGGGTTAGACAGTATATATATCTGATACTTGCTTCGCCTTCTGAATACCATAAGCGTCACGTCAGTAGTGCAGTTTTCTCTCAGAAATATATTTTTTGACATTGTACATGCTTTGATAGTATATATATTGGTGCCAAATTATCAAATTGATGTCTTTCAGCACGCAACGAGCAGCTAGAATAAGATTAATTAACAACAAACACTCTATAAACAAATAAATGTTAGTTACAAAAATACCATGTCAGTGATGACGTTGGGTCATATTTACCCATTTTGACTTAACATATGTATTACTGGCTGCACAGATTGTTGTTACATGGAGCACACCAGCAATTCGGGTAGAGTGGGGTTATATCTCCAGCAGTGTTGGGCAAAATTTAATTGTTCTGGCAATTAAAGATTGACAATTAATTAATTGTCAATTGCGGTTCTCGCAACTAACAATTGATCAATCGTTAATCGCGTATATCACAATTAATCAATTTTAAATCTTTTCAAAGATTTTGATTAACAATTAACAATTAAAACTGACAATTATGATAAATTTATAGGGCATATGGGGGTGGGTGAGGGGTGTGTTAGGGCTTGGGTTAGGGGTTAGGGGGTGAATTAGACGGGGGGTTATGGGTGGATTAGGGGGTGGGTTATGGGTGGATTAGGTGGTCGGTTAGTGGGTGGGTGAGTAGGTTTGAGTGGGTGAGCGGGTGTATGGGTGAGTTGGGTGTAGGGGGTGGGTAACCCAACCGGCCCCCCAACCGGCCCCCCAACCGGCCCTCCAACTGACCCCCCAACCGACCCATCAACCGACCCCCCAACCGACCGCCTAACCGACCCACTAACCCACCACCTAACACACCCAACACACCCCTAACCCATATTCGTAATGACACTTTTATTTGGTACTTTCGGTTTTAATTGTTAGCTTCAATTGTTTCTTAGAACAATTCAATTCTTAGAACAATTCAATTCAATGGAAATCAATTGCAATTGATTTCAATTGAATTGATTTTTTAATCTGATTGAAATTTAATTGATTAACACCCAATACTGATAGCCAGTTACACATTTAAATCATGAGATCGGTGTTATTAAAAAATATACCTTTTGAAACTCACCTCTGCTATTATTATTTAACCAAATTTTTTTATAACCAAATTATATAACCAAAAGTCATTGGCACTTAATTAAACTTACGAATTTTCAGTCTAAAGTATGCCACCTGGCAGATATGTCTCCAGAGGAATTGGTGGAGCATAATGAGCATGCCGATGAGTGGGGGGGATACTTTGTCATCAAGGTAAGACAATTTAACATCATCAGCTTATTGTCCAAAATATTAATTGCAAGTGTCACTGTTCTGCTGTCCGCTAGGTAAAACGTGGCTAAGTGACAAAATAATTTTTTGAGATATCATAAAAAACCATAACTCACTTTTAGAATATTGAAATTGTTTAATGATATTTCAGCTATGCATCGTTAGGGTATGTTCTGATAAGTCGAACACGTTAACTAATTTTAACTGTTTTTAAAATAGAATTTTGTGTTAGTAAAGTTAGTTTGTGGACGGCAGTGTTGGTGATCCTCTCTACATTTTGCTTTGCACTCAAAGCTGACTCAATGGCTTTACTTTCATACTTAGTTCACATAAGCCGGAACTGTTCACATAAATCATAGTTTTCAGATAAAACATCTTTAAAAATTCTATATTATTGACCTTTACAATTTTTTATAAATATTTTTATGTTTCCTTTAATATTTTGTCTGGTTGTAGGTCTTTTCCATGTAGAATAACATAAACACACTTGTACCTCTTCCACCTCCACTTCCTCCCTTCCAAGTTTGGAAAGGTTTTTCCTATTTAAAATTCCATTCTTTGGTTTGTTTTGCAAAAAAAAAAGAAATACTATATATAGATTATATGTGTATATGCCGTTTCTTTGTCTTTGTTCAATATTAGTATCAATAATAACCAGTGGCGGATGTGCAGTCTTGGCCGCCCTACGCCCCAGATCATGTAGTCAGTACCAGCACCCGTTCAGTAGTTTTTGTGTTTATCGCGATCAGACAGACAGACGTAGTGATGTAGTGACAGACACTACATTATAGATAACATGTCTATATTTTATACATAAAATGGATGAAAGTGATTTAGGAAGATTATTGTTATACGATGTGGTGCAGTGCGCGGCAGGCCATAATGTGCGTGATTAGAATATTTAGGTACTTTGAATTATTTGTTTTTATCAGTGAATTTTTTGTCACGTTTGGCCTCCCTAGGCCCGGGCCTACTGGGCCAAATCCGCCACTGATAATAACAACAACTAGTGGAGTATTTTCACAAGAAATAGTTGAATAACAATAGAATTGATTTAATGATTATGAATGAAAATGAAATATTGCAATAATTTTAGGGCCACGAGCGTCTAGCCCGCATGTTGCTAGTGACACGCCGCAACTACCCCGTGGCAATCAAGCGTTCGGGATGGAAAATGAGGGGCAACCTGTTCTCTGATTACGGCATCATGGTACGATGTGTCACAGCTGACCAAACTAGTACAGTAAGTATTGTATTAAGAATAAATAAATAAAAAAACATAACTGTGTGTCAAGCAGAGTAAAGTACTTGCAATCCTTTAGGATACTTTTCTTTAGGAAAACCAATCGTCATAAGTTGCGCTAGGCATCAATCTTATATACTGTTTGTTTGGCAAACGATTGTATATTTAATAAAGCTAGACTTATGGGGGCCCTCAAATTAGACGTTTGTAGAAGCGCTACAGTGGCGCGTCTGTACCGCTTAAACAATTTTTAGTTCACTTAGAGTGAGACCAGGCGAACGTGATTTTGTGAGTTGTGAGTAATATACTCACATAAATATATTCATATAAAAGTCCGGTTTGTGCCAAACGACGACGCAACATAATATGTTGTCTGCCGACTCACGCGCGTATTTACGACTGAATTTCGGTCGTACTGTGCGACGTGCAGGTGTGGGTAGAGGAAGGGGTGAGAGAAGTGGTCACTTTGGTATTGGATGCGCGTGCGTTGACACGTTTCTTTCTCCATTACACTATATAACTCAAACACCCCGTACAAACGCTTAAAAGGAACTAAATGAAATACGTTCGTCCCCAACCGAATTTCAGTCGAACGCAAACTATGCGATTCACAACTTACAAAATAACGTTCGCCTGGCCGCATCCTAAATGTGACTGCAAAAATGGAGCGCGTGTGTTACGACAGTGTTGCTGCAATTGCGCTTCTAAATATTGTATGAAAGTATGAGATTCCGTATGAGTTAAAGGCGCCCTAAATGTCCACAGAACACAATTAACCTTCTGTACTTTTGTTGTGCAATTACTTGTACTAGCATAATAAAAGAATAATCCATAAAACATAAACTTTACCTTCATTTAGAACAACGTCCTCCATTTCTTGCAAAACGGCACTTGCAAGCTGATGTTCTCGCACCGCAAAGTCATGTACTACGCACCACTAGTGTTAATCATGAAGTGCCTGGTTGACTGGCCGGACCACTACATCTATCGACTGCTGCTGCATGGCAAGAAAAACGACTTGTATTATGTCAAGTGAGTGAACAAAAATGCGTATTCCGTGTGACCCTATTGACAGAGAATACTGTACGTACTGGAATCTTTAAGAGGCTAAGGCCATATTTATTGGACACGAATTTCATCGCGCTCACCCCAAGCGGAGCAATCATGAGTCATGGCAAAATACGCTCTAGTTATTTAGCTTTTACGTTTTAACTTAAATGAGCGTCCGGGCACACGGGCGAGGCTGGCTTGAATTAGGTCTACGCGGCCGCGTTGTTTTATTCAGAGGAATTTAAATGTTGTTGCCTAATAAATAGAATTCAGATTAGCCATTAATGTACATGAAGTCGTGGTAACTGGACCGCGCAAAAACTTTATCCTCGTGTAACTGGACGCTAACGTCACAAATCTATAGACCCTTTCTCCTAGTATCAGTCAAATCCTTTCATGGTGCACGTGATGTGTCAAATATAGGCTCAGACAATAAGTAAAAACAAATATATTTTTCATAGCACTTGCTCGTATTATAACTTGTAGCAAAACTGGGCGGTATTTTTATCTTACTCTCCTTTTAAGACCCCGTGTACGTCAAAATTTACCATTATAATTTTATGAATTGAAGTGATTCAGACTAAGACGATATTACTCCTAAGATCACATAAACGTCCTTCTCGTAGTGAAAATATCGCATTAAAATTTATAAAACTAAGGGTATACTTGCTTGGGCCTGAAGCATTTAAGCCATACTTAGTACGTTTTAATGTACCTATATTAAAAGGATACAGCCCTCGGGTGGTAATTTTTTTTCTGCGCTCCCATTGCCTGCTAGAAACGCAAACAAATTCGCGCCGCGGTCCCAAAAGGTAGTGAACTTTTTGATTTTATTTCTTAAAACGAATGTAAATGCAGTTGACTTTATTTCATTTAACATATTTATGAGATACTCTGCTACGTGTTACAAGGGTGGTAAATAGTCAATAACAGAGGGACCTTCAAAGTCCAAGCCGAAGGCAAAGCTTTAATGGTCCGAACGTTTGTAATTGCTATTCCGTCCGTGTGGCATACAATGTTTTTAATCACTATTGCGAGGGAGTTGAAACATGTATGCCACACTACTGGCGGGACAGCAATTACAAACATTCGGGCCGTTCGAACGTCCTTGTTTGTAATTGTCAACTTACCGCCCTTATAAAACGATATACTACTACACTAGTCAATGTGTGCTTTAGATTCTGTCTATAAAATTCTTTACCCCATATCCAGTTGTGTCCAAAACATGCTTCGTGAGCTCCACGAAGAAAGCCTACACACGCATGAAGAATGTCGTTCGTACCTCGGACGAATGTTCCGACCGAAGCTTCTAGAACTACCTCCGTGGTCCACCGACCAAGAGGCCGCGGACTTTTTGCTCAAACGATGCATCATGATCCATCTGCCGGAGTATAAAGACAAGTTTCATGCTTTGGTCTTTATGGCGCAGAAGTTGTATGATGTTGTGCAGAATAAATGTAAGGTGAGTTGCTTTTTTAGACTTTTATGCTTAGTAAAAAAGGGCTCTGTGAGCGCTATGAGTGCGCGCGTTTAAAAAAAAACTAGTTATGATAGATGACAAATACAAATAGTACACACGCCAGCACATCAAGCCACACATTGACGTATCTTGTTCCGTTGCAATGAAGGTGATTTTCGAACAAAAATGTGTAGTCTGATGTGCCGTTGTCCGTACATTGTGTATTAAGGGCGCTAAATAAGAAACTACTAACGAGAGTCCATTAGAAGCCCGAAGCCGAAGGCTGAGGGTTTTAATGACTCGAGTTTGTATATTTTTACCGCTCGTGCTACATACAATGTTTTTCATCACATTTGCGAGGAAAGAAATACAATGATAATTTATTTCTTGTATGAATAAATATCGTTTCACAACACTACAATGGATTTTGCAATTGGCGGGTTTTATGTTTTTTTTTTCTTGTAAATAGATGGCCAGCTATTAATCCATAGATAATACAACTCGAATGAAAATGTTGTAAAAGGTAAAAACGTAGGCGTTTTTACCTTTTACAACAGCCTTGATATATTATTTATAAAGTAAATAATTTCAAGTACTAAACATACTACTGAATTTGTAAAATTAAACTAATAAAATACATATTATTAAATTTCAAATGTTTATTTCTTTTCTACACTTCAAAGTTATACGAAATACATTCAATTTTTTCTAGAATAAAAACTTTTTGCTTAAGGCTGGAACAAATGCCAGATTGACGAATTAGGCTCTTTTTAATTAAATTGCTTATAATAATAATAGTCCAATAATCACAATAAAAATATATGATTGCTAATAGTCCTTAAATAATTGAATGCATTGAGCAAAACTACAATTTATTAAGCTCTTTTTACGAAATAAAATTTACACTTACGTCCTTCAAATTGAATAAAAATCAATTTCTCTTCACGTGCAAACATCCGTTGTTTATAAAATTTACACGAAAAAAGTGATAATTTAATTTCAAACAGAATGTATTGTTCACTTTTTTTTAACTTGTAAAGTTCATAAGTTGTGTTATTACTTGAAAAAAAAAAACCTTCCCACTCGCGAGGTCTGCGCAGTATTACGCTCAGTCGCCTTTCAGGCTTTGCGACGGGTGGACTGCGCGTGTGTTTTTGAGCGGGTTTATGCCACAAAAAGTTGCTGTTTTTAATTAATTTCAGTTGTAAACACAAGTGAAAGTGTTAAATTTAATTTGTATATACTTGACTTTGTTTTTATATTTTAGATTTTATAAATTAGTTATTTCGTTATATTTACATTGAATCTTTTTTAATAACCACCAAAGACTAGACAATATAGATATGCCGAAATAAAAAACAAATCTAAGTTGAAGAGTGGAATTTGTACAATATACATGCAAATAATATGGCACTGGATGAGAAGGTCTAGGTGTTCTGGAAGAGAAGGTCTAGGTGTTCTGTGTAGTGCCGCGGAGGGAATTCCGTTGCCTTTGGTGTCAGGTTTGATTCCCGGTAGAACAAATTTTTTAAATGAACTTCCTGGACTTGGGTCTGGTCTGGGTTATTGGTAATGCCTATGTTTGGAATAAGTTTCTCTGGCACTCATAAGGAGTACAGGGAGTTCCATAGTTTGAAACCAGGTGGTTGACAACAGAACAGACAAAAGTACATTTCCCAAATTGATTCTACCGGGAAATAAACCCGGGACCAAGAGCTACGGAATACTCTACGCGGTATTACCCAGAACACCTAGTATCAAAAAATCATTTTAAACTGGTTGTACCGGGAATCGATCGACGGGGTGAATTCCGTACATCTTGGTAGATCTACCAAGATGTACGGAATTCACCCCGAGGCACTACCAAGAACACCTAGGCCAAAACCATTTTAGAAAAGTTCGTTTCCCAAATTGGCTCTATCGGGAATCGAACTCGGGACCAAGAGTTACGGAATACACTCCGCGGCACCACCCAGAACACCTAGGCCAAAACCATTTGGAAAAGTTCATTTCCCAAATTGGTTCTTCTGGAAATCGAACCCGCGACCAAGAGTTACGGAATTACCTCCGCGGCACTACCCAAAACACCTAGACCGAAACCATTTTAGAAAAGTTCATTTCCCAAATTGGTTCTACAGGCAATAGAACCTGCGATCAAGAGTTACGAAATACACCCTGCGTCACTACCCAGAACACCTGGGTCAAAACCATTTTAGAAAATTTCATTTCCGAAACTGGTTCTACCGGAAATCAAACCCAGGACCAAGAGCTACGAAATTCACTCAGCGACATTGCCCAGAACACCTAGACCAAAACCATTTTAGAATAGTTCATTTCCCAAATTGGTTCTACTGGCAATAGAACCCGCGACCAAGAGATACGGAATACACTCCGCGGCAGTACCGAGAACACCTAGGCCAAAACATTTTAGAAAAGTTCATTTCCCAAATTGGTTCCACCGGGAATCGAACCCGGGACCAAGAGCTACGGAATACACTCCGCGTGACTACTCAGAACACCTAGGCCAAAACCATTTTAGAAAATTTTATTTCACTGGTACTGCCGGAAATCGAACCCGGAACTTTCTCATGCGTGCTATATGTAAAATCTACAAATCGCTTACAAAATGACCACACACACAGCTTATTCCCGTGAGAAGAAATATTCACTTTATTTAACACATTTGAAGTTCTATATTGTATTGCTATTTCCAAAGTTCGCCGTAAGCAGTCCGATGTCGCTCAGCTAATGTTTGCCTTTCAAAGAAATATACCTTATACTCCACTTCAATTAAACTATTTGTTTTTAAAATTTTATTGAATTGATATTCAATTATTTTTTGTGAAATTACTCCACTAGTTTGTTGTAATCATTCATACAAAGATCGAACACTCAGAAAAAATTCCTTCGATCCGGTCGGATTCGAACCGACGTCTTCTTGCATACCGTGCCAGACGCTATACCAACTAAGCCACGGAACGAACCAACGGACCCAACGAATTCTTCTATGTGCTTGCGTCGTGTCTTTGTATTTGGTTTTTCAACGACTTTTTAGTCGTAGCACCATCTATGAGAAATCTATGAAAGATTTATCACCCAGTTAGTACCTTTACAGCTACTAGTCCTGGCGAGAGATGTCGCTATTCACTGTATTTTTAATTTTTAATGAATTGATATTCAATTATTTTTTGTGAAATTATTCCACTAGTTTGTTGTAATCATTTATACAAAGATCGAACACTCAGAAAAAAATTATAATAATAATAATTAATAAACTATTTGTTCTCGCTATTTAGATTTTGACGCTTTTTAATGTTAACAATTTAGTTAATAAAGTACCTATTTGATAGTATATTTATTTAACCTCGCGCTAAGTACGTAACGTTATACTGTACTGTGTACTTTTATTGGTGGAATTTCCAGAAGTTAAAAACAAATTAGTCGTATTGGTCGTAATCATTTTTATTTTTTTAATTATTATTAATCTTACGTATTGTATAAAACAAATTGAATAAATAATACATAAAAGTTATACTTTCAATGACACATAATTAATTAGTAAATATTGACGTTTGTTAAATGTATTTAAAATAAAAGTATTAGTTTTAATGTTACTACTCTTTTTTACTTCTCCTTTATAATTGAAAATAGCAGTATTAGTTGTCAATTGGTAAGATGTAACAATCGAATCATTGCACGATTTACCTAATACTTTCACTATTTATGGTATTACGATTTTGACCCTAAAATATTATGTAATGTTTATTTTTACGATGGTTTATTCTCGAATGTCTCCGAGGGAACAACAACGTAGGTATAGATTGCAAAAAAACACTTATGACTCGTCTGTATTCTAATTTACAAGTTATCTTTATTTGACTTTGTGTAAGTACAGGCGAGTGGTCGATAGATGGCGCATGAAATTGTTACTACTGCTTTGAGGTCAAATCGTCAGTCATTCGCGACTGTTCAAGCCTTAATCGTGACGTATAAGTGCAATGCAATTAAGCAATGAAAATCCCCATGGGCGTAATTTAGGACATTAAGGCCGACTTTGCCTGCATATCATGACACTATTTACGAGCTAGTGTGATGAAAAGTGATTTTACTTTTCTGTGAGTTCGATCTTTGTATTCATAATCATAGTTATTTTTTATGATGCAGGTAGAAGGCGCCGACGCAGTAATGGTACAAGAACTGCTGGTAGGTGGACATCTCTACCTCCAGGTGTTGAAGGAACGACTACAGATGTTGCTGTATATTGTGAAGGCGAACATTATGAAAAGGGCGCGAGCGGGCAAACGACTTGTTATGTCTACGGTTAGATTTTCTTTTGGGTTTTCTTTTAAGATTGGTATGTTTACTAATCTAATTACACAGAATCGTCTACATAAACGAATTGACAACTTAATCTTGTAACAGACAGCTCAAAACGGCAAGAACCTAACTCAGCTGATCGCATTACATATTCGGATTAGATATCAGCTACTCGTATGCCTTTTTAAATAATTATCACGTTCTACCTGTCATCTTGTATATTTCATCATCACTATGTCTTTATTTTCAACAGAAAGAGCTCCAACAAATACTGCGCATGGCAGGCAGTCTGGAACAGAAGATGGAGACATTCCTAGCTACAGGCAACGTCCCCTCCAACAATGTAAACCTCGCTCAGTACAAGGGGCTCACAATTGTCGCAGAGAACATCAATAGGATGCGGTATATGTCGCATTTTAAGTGAGTATACAAAATGGGTTACCTTTTTAATGGGATTTAATGCCTGTAAGACATTTTAGACTAGCAACCCATTTGTTAGTAAGCATCAGCACCGCGTCCTTACTAGATGTTTTATATAGGATATTGTCAGCATGCTTAATGTTGAAGAGAGCCGTAGTAGTAATAGTTAATGATGGGTAAAACCTCGTCTTAAAATATCGTGACCTTAAAATAATAATAATAAAAGTTTGCTTTGTATATGGCAGATCGGCCATAATTCTCGCAAAAACATGTAACATTGTATGTATTATGGGCACAATTGACGCCTTTGCCACCTTAAGGATTCTTATTGCGTGCAAGCAAAGGCGGTCATTACCTACCACTAGCAGCTCGCCTGATCATGTTAACCAATAGCGACAATGTTTTCTGAGACTGAGTGAATTTAGCCAGTATGACGGTTAATGACATGTACGAAAGAAGAATGGCGAAAGCTGACCCAATATAAAAAAAAATATCAACGAAGAGACGTTCATGAACTTTGCTAGTATAATTTTACGTTTCAGTTTATGCCTAGTTATCAATATATTTTTGGATGGTTTTATAAATCCGGAATAAAGAAATTGTAAAATACTATATTTTAGAATAAATGCAATAACATAACGCATTAGACTCACTTCGACCATAGGTTTCATTTTAAGCATGATTGAATATTTACTTACCTAAAATATTGGTTATTTTATTGTACACACATAAAACATAGCTATAAAATACCTAATCAATTAAACAGTAATAACATAGAGTAAAAAATAAAACACAATGTGAAAAAACGTTTATACTATATTTAAATGATATAAGAAAGTTAGCAAAGGAACGTTTTAGCTACTTCACTTCACTTTTTATTTTTATGGCTCCATCATTATGAGAAATGATGATTTTGCCAATGTCACGGTTGAAAGAAAAAAAAACAAAACAGAAAAAAATACGCTGAGCTCTAATAGGACATTAACCGGTGTTTAAGAGTTGGTCCACGGGAGTACACAGTTGAGAATCTAAAACAAAAGACAGCACAAACATGTGTTTATAAATATGTATATGTTATTTAAGTGGATAAATTTACATAGAGTAACAATATGGGGGAAGAACACTAAAGTTAAGAGGTTATTTATGTTAATGGGGCGGGGGAATTTTGGAAGAAGTAAGTTATAAAGTGGAACAGCAATATTAGGGCAATTGAAAAAAATGTGTTCCAATGTACCCTCTTCTAGGCCGCACTCGCACAGAGAGTGATCTCGGACTCTGATTTTACGCAAAAATACAGGTGTGCAAACATGGCCTAAGCGCAAACGTATAATGGTGGAAGTGACGTTTTTAGGCAAATCGCGACGTTTAAAAAACCAGGGTTTAGTGGGTAGATTTGGTTAGAGGTTACCATAGCGTCTACCGACAGTTTGTCGTGATTCCTGCCATAGGTTCGACCAGGAGGCTAGCATTTGGGGTTTGGTCATGGCGAGCAGATCTCTGGGAAAGCACTTATGATATTTGCATACGCCAATTCTTGTCGCATCCTTTGCAAAGGCGTCTACTGCTTCGTTGCCACTGATCCCACTGTGACCGGGAATCCAGGCCAGAGTTACCTCAATTCCCGCACAGTGACATCGGTACAGAGCTTCCTTAATTTGGAGGGTGATAGAGAAATTGTCTTTGGAATGAAACGGTAGCTTAATAATGTCTTGGAGGCAGCTTAGTGAGTCTGAGAAAACCAAACATTTATTAATTTTATGGGACTCAATAAAATGGTTTCAAGTATTGCGATAGCCTCTCCAGAAAAGACCGAATTCAGATAGGGGGATTTAAAACTGAGTACGACATTGAGCCTCTTGCCAATGTCAATGTCACATTGTGAACAGTGTGACCATTTGTAGCAGATTTCTGCCATTTAGGCAGATTTAATTTTTATTCATTTTCGTTGCGGCAGAACCTCCTTAAAACGTTATCATGTTTTATTAAATGTGGCAGAGTTTGGCAGGTTTGAGAATATTCAACAAGTTCTTTATTATTTTGGGAACAAACTGAAATCTTGTTGTTTTCTGCTACTACGGACAAACATTTGCTAAATACAGGACAATTTTATAAACATAACCTATATCAGCTTTGTAACCCCATCTCGTACAGGCTGTACTGAATTAGCTTTTTTGGTGCTATGATAATGAATCACAAGTATTGATACTCGTAGGTATCTTTAACGCACGTCGTCAAAAACACGGGGTCACAAAATACATAGGATGTCGCCATCCTTCTTTAGAAGTATGCTGACGCCATTCTTTGTTGCTTACAATACTTTTGGAAGAAACACAATTTTTTCAGTATAAGGTAAAAAGATATCTAGAAAACTTATACGAAAGCTTAGAAAACGATCGGTGTTGGTGCGTAATAACACTTCAACCATGTTAGAGCGATGCCACATGGACGTTGCGTCGACATTGCATTGTATTACATATAAATCAGAACGACTGTGGTGCTGCGGTGCGTAACTACATTGCGTTACATGAACTGATCTGGGAACAGTCCCATATCTTTTCTACACACTACACACAGTTGGTTATACAGGAAGGGCAGTATAACCTGTGCAAGCAAATCAGCACTGACTCCAGATCAGCCCGTTTGCACGGACTTCATCCGGTTCTCAAAAAGCTAGTGCCTTAGGTGAGCCGCCCCGGGTGCACGTACAGAACCCTCCCTATTTTCCAGATAAGTAAATAAATAAGATAAATAAATAAATAAATAAATAAGTACCGGAGCTGCAGGCAGGCCCGCATTGCCCACGGCACATTACGGTTGCCACCGCTAAGCCATTGACTCTAGGTTCACTAACAAATCTCTTCTCTTCTGGAAACAGGGCAATTCATCGCGGATCGTTCTTCATGGAAATGCGTACTACGGAAGCCCGTCAATTACTTCCCGATGCTTGGGGCTTCGTCTGCCCTGTGCACACACCCGACGGAGCGCCTTGCGGGCTGCTCAATCATCTTACCAGTTCTGCTCAGGTAAATTCTCCTGCTTAACTACACCCTAAGATCAGCTTTTCAGTGCGAGAGGGAATTTTAGTGGCAGTAGAGGGTAGCATAAGCAGTAATGTGCCCATTACTGCGTTTTGGGTTTTGAAGGGTAACAGTGCTGGTGGAATTACAGGCACATGGGATTTGGCGACTTATGTCTCAGGGTAACGCGGCAGCGGCATTGCTCCTCAGATGTGCATACTTGTTCATCCCGCCACTTGGTATAATAAAAAAAGAAGACTCCTTTTCAGCTAATCATAATTCTCCATAGATATTTCCCTTCCCTCGTCCCGCAAAACGCGATGTATGTGGCAATATGTAATGTGTGTTATATAGTACGTTTTATGAATTTAGTTTAAGAGTGTATTCTGTTGAATTTATACACCGTTTAGCTGCCTTGTGCACCATTAACTGCCCTTCTTCTATTACTCCGTAATAATTTGTAAGGTTGCCTGGAAGAGATCGCTGTCTAGCGATAAGACCGCTGATTGTACCTTTAACTATGTTTTGTATTGTCACTGGTTTTATTTTGTGTGCAATAAGGCTTATTCTATTCTATTATGTGATTCTTATGAGACTCGCCTGATTCAGCATAAACAATTGATAATGTCAAATTTCTCTTTGGGAAACATTTACGCTTTTATTTGCAATTGCAAAATAGTTTCACGAAGGTCAATTGGTAGTGCTTAACATTTTAATTGCAGGTCACCGAACCACCTGACGCGAAGCATCTGGAAAATTTACCATCTGTGCTTGAACGATGTGGTATGTAAACCTGAAACTTACATACATCTCTAAATTGTCTCGACTCATCGACTTATATCTTAAGAACATAAATTGAAAAACCCGATACAAAACAGTGTACTTCAAAGAGTCACCATTGTAAGCCAACTTCTCGTTAAGACCTTTAGAAGTTTCTAACATATGGCGCTGACGGCAAAGAAACCCTTTAAACCCAATATCTGTAAAAAAGACATAAAAATTCGTAAGATCGCTAACTCGATCTGTTAACTCAGTTGGTAAGAGCGATAGCCCCGGCATGGCAACAAACGCTGGTTAGAGCAAAGTCCGATCGTAGGAATTTTTCTTTGTGTTGTTCGATTTTTGTATCACTTGTTAGTAGCAGTAGAGCTCCTTGTGAAAGAGTTTGTCTAGGGAAGTACTGCCATCTTATCTATTATTCCGCCAAGTAGTAATACGAGCATTACTGCGTTCCGGTTTGGAAGGGTAAGGGTGCTGGTGAAATTATAGCCACATGGGACTTATCAACTTATGTCTCAATGTGTCGGGCGCAGTGGCAGTGTCTCATATCTTTGCGATTTAAAGCTCGTGAGTGACATTGCAACTGTTATGGACAGGCGTGTAGCTTACCATCACGCGCACGACTTGTTCATTCCGTCACTTGATATTATATTAAAAAAACTTAACTAACACAATATAGATATTTGTCCGAAATAAAGTAAATTATTATTATTATTATTGTTAAAGTATAGTAACTGGACTTTTGGCTTCTTAATAAATTTTTATACAAAGCAGGTAACGTCAGCTAAAGTTACCGTACTAAAGCTAGAATTCTAAAAACTAGTACTGTACTGCATATGACTGCATGTCTCTTTTTATTTGCCTCAGGAATGGAACCAATAAGTTCCGTCACCCACACCCCCCTCTCGCAGGACGAATACAACTACCCAGTGTTTATAGACGGACGACTTGTTGGGTATCTAGCTGCGGACACTGTCGATAAGTCTGCGGCTTACCTTAGGACGCTCAAGATCAAAGGAGAGGAAGTGCCTATTACAACAGAAATTGTCGTTATCCCTAAGAAACAGGTGAGTTCAGTTCAATGACAAATGACCGAGTTCTGGTTCAGTCATCGAGTATATAACCAGAAATAGAGACGAATAAGGGCCATATATTCATAGTAACACATTAGGCGATACAGCTCTTATAAATATCAACTCCCGTTTGCACTGAAATATAAACAGGCCAACTACTGACCTGTGTGTACGTCTCCAATATTCCAAAAAATATTCTGTATTTATTGTAATAAAGATAATATCTCTAACAATGCCGTGCTGTTCTATTCGGTGGTGTGGGAAAAACAGCAAAATATCTAATTACAAAAGTAACTGAATCAAATTTTATCGTAATTAAATGTTAAATATGTAATTTAGCGATTTTCGTCCATTATAGCAAAGCTCAAGTTAACTGATCGATAAGAAGTGAAACAGTTGACCCGTCAATTGTTTCGAACTCGGGCTAGCCAATCGGAGCGCAGTTGTCACAGTAATGATATGGCAGAATAGTTTTCAAACAAATTAAATGACATTTCGCCTCTATTTCTGGTTATTTATACTCGATGGTTTCAGTTATTGCTTAATAAATATTATTGATATTCCACTTTAAAAGTCGCGAGGATTATTTAGCCCCTTAACCGTGTAACATGATTCAGAGGTATCGCTTACTAGATATGTGTTTGAAGATTAAATAATTAAGATTTTTTGGAATTGTAATTAATAGGTTTTTAACCGACTTCAAAAAAATTGTTTTTTTTTTGTATGTATGTTATCGATTTTGATGATTCTTTTTTGTCTGAATGAGAGTGCCTCAGTAGTGGTCCCATTATATTTTAAGAAAATATTCCACCTCTAAGGGTGGGAAAGTAGGTAGTGAGTGACTTTTGAGGTCGGTTTTTTTAACACTCTGTAAGGAGATTATTGAATATGCAAGACAACAGTATCCATTTTGAAAATAACAACGTGTTTCCAATTATTGACAAAAATATCCCAAGTAAATATGAATAAATAATTTCAATTTAATTTATTATAAATTTCTCAAAAAGCTCTGTCCAAGAGATGAATGTACTTGAAATGCACTGAACTTAATTAAAGTTTAATTTGAACCGTGGTAGCCTAACGGTTTCACCTATTTTCATGCATATTGGTAATTTTTCATGAATTACAAAATTAAAACTTTAGACATTATACATTTTGAAAGAATAATCTTATTTGTTTATTAAACTTAACTAATGGCAAAATTTTTGGTCAACTCATTACAATTGACTTAGTTTATGTGTACATGACACAAAGAATTATTTACTGATATGTATAAAACCGAAAAAAAGACTGATTTTTAAATTAAGATTAGAGGGAGAAATTATCTAAAGGTCAACAAGCAAAAAAAAAGATAAATCGGAAAAAGCAAGATAAAATTAAAAATAACCAAAAAGGTTAAAAAAAGTTGCTGTGTTTTAAGAGTGTCCGTAATTAATAGACATCTAAAGCCGGATTTACATTTGTCTGACGTGTCGTGTCGTGTACGATATCGGATACACACAACATAAGCCGTCACGTCAAATTGCGACACAATAACACAAATCTAACAATATTAAATGTATGAAACAGATACCGTTCTGACGCGTCATGACATGACACGTCAGACAAATGTAAATCCGGCTTAACAACGTAACAATAACTTAAGATATACACAGTAACTTTAATTGTCACCGTTGCCGAACGGTTACCTGCTGCTAGGCTTCCACGCAGAGGTCCCGGGTTCGATTCCCGGGCTGGTGGAAATACTCGTATGACCTACATTTATTTTTATGGTGAGTTTGGGTGTAATTTGTGATTGTCTATGTGTATATCCATGACACCCGCGATACAGGGTTTCCCTAGGGCGGGCTTATAAGTGTGTGCTTTATATTATTATTATTCTCATCTAGCTTGTATCGTTACCAATAAACTTATTACACATTTATCTCTTCTAAATGAGGCGTACTATTGGCAACACGAACAATGGTATCTACAAAGAACCAATAGCGTCACCTTTTCAGGGTTCAAAATTACCTAGCTTACATTTAAATAAACTCACTGTATAATCGTTGATTAATAAATCATTTACAGATATGCGCTCAATACGCAGGCGTATTCCTATTCACGACAGAGGCGCGCATGATGCGACCAGTGATCAATCTATCTACGGGACAACTAGAGTTAATTGGGACAATGGAGCAGCTCTATCTAGATATAGCTGTTACCAATACTGAGATTTACAAAGGTATTAAAAATCAATTATTTCAAGTTTACAATGTTTTTGTTGAAAACGCTTACCAATATTCTTACCACGTTTATAAACGTTATTTTAATTAGCTCGAAATAAGTTTATCTTTTTACGCTTATACAACTATAGTATGACTCGTAATTAGGTATCCAAAATGTCATTGTTAAAGTGTGAATGCAGATGTGCTAAACCTTCTATTTTTAACAGAATTGGAAAAGGAGGTTGGTTCCTATTTTATACATTTTAATATCTATAACTAAATGTTAACAATAAACAAAAATTTAAAGACCAATTTCTTTTTTAATTCCAAGTGACGGGGCGAACAAGTCGTGCACCTGGTAGTAAGCGACACGCCTATCCATAACAGTTGCAGTGCTACTCAGAGCTTTAAATCGCAAAGATTTTTAACACTACCACTGCGCCCGTCACCGTGAGACATAAGTTCACAAGTCCCATGTGCCCGTAACTTCACCAGCACCCTTACCCTTCCAAACCAAAACCCAGTGAGAAAAAAGCACTAATGACATCTATGTCACGACAAAATGGCGGCACAAAAAATGTTTTTGGTCCCGATTATGTTAACAGTGTGATAAAATTATTTATGACCATAAACATACTCTTTTATAATAATTATTGCGTTAAACGAAATTAAGTAAAAACATATATTGCAAAATGTGAATTGTTCCAAGTTTTATCATATTACAGCTTGAAAAGAGAACAATCCAGTCTTTTCAGAAGGTTACAAAATTTGCCGACTACAACTTGTTTTAATTCGAGATGTTTCGTGAATCTAAGAGTGGTTACACACGGCGACTTTCAGCAGCCATGCAAACGTTTGTATCGCTACACTTGCGATTTATGAGCGACTGCATCGATGCAAACGCGCGACTACGTCGATGCAGTCGCTTATGTTGAATCATTATTTACGATAATATCTATAGATTTATGCACATTATTTTGTTTTGTTAATTGTAAATTTAAAAGTGAAATTAATAAATACTTTAAATAAGTAAATTAGTTAATTAATTTAAAACGTGCATCGCTATTTCGTCGCGTTTGTACCGCGTTTGCATCGCTACTGCATCGCGTTTGTATCGCTGCTAAAAGTCTCCGTGTGTAATCGCTCTAAGTATTTTAATGGTCGCTCTAAGTGTTTTCATATCTCACATCGCTTTACCTTTTTTGCTGTGCTTATTATTGTAGGTACTTTTGTGTTTTTTTTTTGAGATATTAACTTTTAACTTACTTTTACCATAAGTTATATTTGAAAATAAAAATATGAACAAATGTAATTGGCGCTAACTAGATTTACCTAAAAAATATTCAATGTAAATCTGTTGTTGTTCCGAATAAAATAAAATAAAAATAAAATGTTTCAGGTAAAACAACCCATCTGGAATTATCTAAATCTGCGTTCATGAGCAACCTTGCGCAATTAATTCCCATGCCTGATTGTAACCAGTCTCCTAGGTAAGGGCTCTTATGATATCCATAATATTTCAATACCAATGCCAACACGCCAAACAGGAAGCTACACTACTTGTCTTATTATACTATGGTAAATAAGACATTGTATAATCTCAGTACAGAGTACTAAAAAACCGACCTCGAAAGTTCGTGGAGTTACATCTTTTTGCTAAGTTTTGTTGAAATCGGTTACCGAAAAGTGCGCAAAACCGGATTCATCCCCTTGTTGGCCCGCTTAATTAACACATCATTTTCTTCAAATTTAAATGTGACCAATACTGAGGTACCCTCTTTCCAACAAAAAAAAAAAGAATCGTCAATATCGGTTCACAAAAGTTATCGCGTAAATAAGAAAAACAGTCGAATTGAGAACCTCTTCCTTTTTTGAAGTCGGTTAAAAATGACTTTTTTCTAATTTCAAATCCGATGCCGATCGTATTGTTATTTTGAGAATAACTAAAGCTGAGCATTTTAGGCGTTAAGTAAGGTGCAGCGAATTAATCCATCACATAGGCACAGTTTTGAGTGGTAATGTCGCGTGCCTTTGTATTTAACACCCGTGTATTTAATGATTTTGATGACTATTCTCAGAGTTGTTTCGAATGATTCCTCGTATTAGCATTATTGTCACTTGCTTTAACCCTTACACAAAAGCGAGGCTCAATTCCCTATCTAGAAAATATTCCCGTGTTTCCTGGTATTTGAAGGGCCATTTCCATTACTAATTATTTTTTAAGTAGGGTTGCTGGTAAGTATTTTACCATTATACGTTGAAAACTTGTGAATGTAGCAACATAGTTAATTAATTACTTAAAAAACAAGGTGATAAATATGAAAGAAAGAAAGAAAGTACATTTATTTGTTCACCACAAGTGACACCATAAAAGGAAAAAAGGGAAAAAAAATATAATCAAAACATTTAGACGTGAAACATAAATAAGTAATTACAAAACAAATACAAACAAAAAAAATTAAAAAGAAAAAATATTAATATTTTATCATACAACCTCAAACGGCTTTGGTTGATTCCGCATACCAGCGAAAGCGTTGAATGAATCACTTTAGCAAAAATATATAGAAAAAATTGAGGATATACGCCATACGATGTGAAAACACGATTTCTAAAGATTTTTACGATAGAAAAAAATAGAAACTTACCTGAAAATTTTACAAGAAAACCGAAGTATTCAATAGGTACTATAAATATAACAATTGTTTATATCAACTGAACTAAATAGAACACGTATACTTGGGGCGCACTGTAAGTTTTCGGAATGAATAAAAAAAAATACTATAAATGGTCAGAAATAAATTTATTTCTTAGGTTTTCGCGATTGTTATACATAGGAATGAAACTATTTTTCCGGATTTAAATCGCGTATATTTGTTTTTTCAAACAAACCGACGTTTCGAATGAGTCAACCGTGACCATGGGACCTGTAAAGGGCCCGAAACGTCGCTTTGTTTGAAAAAACAAATATACGCGATTTAAATCCGGAAAAATAGTTTCATTCCTAATAAATTTATTGTTTCTCAAAATATTCTCCGTTAGCGTTAATGCACTTTTTCATACGAATGAACCAATTTTGAAAACATTTATGCCACTCCTCCGTAACAATCGCTGAAACGCAGTTTGAAGCCGAGCGCAATACCGCAGAGCTGTTAATTTACACTTAAAGTCGTAGAAAATCATACTACGAAAATTTTCACGAGTTAAATCCATGGTGATGTAGACAACCAATTTCTAAAATGACGGCACAATGTAAAAGCAAGTGACAGTCAGATGAAACAAACTATATTCTACAAACCAAAGAGTTCCATTTTCAAATGTTGTAATTACTTTTTAAATATTGTTTATATAAGTGGCCAGTTCCGGAAACTTATAGTGCGCCCTATGTAGTATAAGATATACATTTTTCAAATGGCTTTAATTTCGTTGGTAAAAAAAGAAATTCTGAAATAAAGCCAGTGTCCCAGCCGCTCGACCCCAGCAAAATGAACCGTATTACAACGGGAAAAATATGAATTCGAGCTGAGGTAGTATCAAATCTTATGGATTAATGATAAAGTAAAATATCGCAAGAATGACAAGGGCTTATTTACAAAATACACGTGACATCTCCACTGAACTGGCCCCAAACGTTTGACTGCATCCATCGAGTATAACCAGAAATAGAGACAAGGGCCATACATTCCTGGTAACTCATCAGTGATACATCACTTATATATCGACTTATCCGAAGAACAGAGTCCAATGTGATTATACAACGAAAACGGGATAAATACATAATTTCGTTATTCAAAATAAGACCTAGCTCTAGGTGTTTTAAGAATTTTATGAATTATTTCGTTTCGGAAATATAAAATCCATCATCGGTCGATCTGATATCCACAGTTAAGAACAGCGAACGAAATGTACGATGTCCTGAGAATAAGCAGTCTTGCACATAGGTCTTTGTACTACGGATGAGTCGATATATCAACTCTCATTTGCACTGAAGGCCTACAACTGCCCTGTGTGTACGACTCCGTATATTCTAAAAATATTCTGCATTTATTGTAATAAAGATAATATCTCTAACAATGGCGTACTGTTTCATTCCGTGGTATGGGAAAAAACAGCAAAACATCTAATTACAAAACAAACAAAATCAAACTTCATCGGTAATGAAATATTAAATATGTAATTTTGCAATTTCTTTCCATTATAGCAAAGCTCAAATTAACTGGTCGATTTGAAGTGAAACAATTGACAACACCCGTCAATTGTTTCGAATTCGGGCTGGCCAATTGGAGCGTAGTTGTCACAGTAATGATTTGGCAGAATAGTTTTCAAACAAATTTAAAACACTTTCGTCTCTATTTCTGGTTATATACTCGATGATTGCATCTTAATCAACATGCTTTGTTTATTACAAACAAAGTCTACTTACTATCTTATTTCTAAACGTTATTCCAGAAACATGTACCAATGTCAAATGGGTAAACAAACGATGGGCACGCCGATCCAAACGTGGCGTACGAACGCCGAGACCAAGTTATACCGGTTACAGACGCCAGCCACGCCGTTATTCAGACCTACGCACTATGATAATATTGGTTTGGACGACTATCCTATGGGGACCAATGCTATTGTTGCTGTTATTTCTTATACGGTAAGTGAGACATGCTTTAATAAATAATAAAATCCTAGCTTGAAAGAAATGCCGGGTTCTGGCGCACTGCACTACCAATGTAAGAAGATCTCACTGTCATATGGTGGTGTGTGAGGGGAGAGTTGAGATTATGTCGGCTTGTGAAAAACCGTGTTTTGAAGGCCGTATGGTTTCAAGTTAATTGGTTGTTTGGTAGGTTTCTCAGCTCATCGTATACCAGCTGATACTAAATCCAAAGAACGTTGCTCTGATAGTCATTGTATAGGGAATTCGTTCATTGATATGGTTGCCTGACACATTAACACGTTTAGATTTTTTTTCTTTTCAGGGCTACGACATGGAAGACGCGATGATAATAAACAAATCCTCTTACGATCGCGGATTTGCTGCCGGCTCGGTTTATAAAGCGGATTTCATAGAACTGAAACACGCGTCTTCGTACTTTTGTAGAGACAATTCGAAGGCAGAATTAAGTCGGTACATCGATGACGATGGATTGCCCTCTGTAGGCGCTAGGATACAACCAGAAGATCCTTTTTATTGGTAAGATCAGTTTGATTTTGAAGTAAAATTTCATATAACTGTATAGTAATTTAAAATTTGTCAAGAACAGGTTCGGTGTTAATTTAAAGAATTTTTTTTTTATTATGATACCAAGTGGCAGGACGAACAAGTCATGCGCCTGGTGGTAAGCGACACGCCTATCCATAACAGTTGCAGTGCCATTCAGAGCTTTAAATCACAAAGATCTTATGGACACTGCCACTGCGCCCGTCACCCTGAGATAAGTTATAAGTTGACAAGTCCCACGTGCCTGTAATTTCACCAACACTCTTACCCTTCCTAACCGGAACGCAGTAACGCTCACTTTACTGCTTGACGGCAGACATTGGTAAAGTGGCAGTACTTCGCTGGGCGAACTCTTTCACAAGGAGCTCTACTGCTTGCTATATGTGTAGACATAACACCACAGCTTTCCACTTGCTACGGTCTTGGTTTTTTGTATTGTACTTGGAGGGGCCATGACTTATCTCGTGAAGGCACCTTGCACATCCAGCATTGAGTTTATTATAATAAATATCACGGTTTTGTTTTTGACTCACAACAATGTCTATACTTTTGGTATTGCGAATATGATTTTAAGCGGGTTTTAATTGTATTGAAAGAGTTTTTATGGATTATTTTAAATATCACTCGCGTACACTGGTTGTCTTAAGTTTTTAAACTCGTGACTCGTCTTTTGAGGTAGCGGGGAGCGGGTGAAAGGGAGGATAGTGTTGCCAGAAATAAAATGAATGCGTTGAGTTGTTAAGTTTAGTTGACGTGTCGCTTACTACCAGGCGCACGACTTGTTCGTCCCGTTACTTGGTACTATAAAAAAAATGAAACAAATAACGTCGTTTTCGCTCTTATTACATTGATATAAAGCTTTTTCTCGGTTTAATGCGATTCCGTGTCTATAAGTGCTTCCAAAATAAACATAATTACATAATTTATTGAGATTTTTTTTTGTGAAGTAACTGCACAGTTTTGTTACGATGACGGATACAAAGTTAAAACACACAGACAAATTTTGTCGACCCGGTGGAACCGAAACCTACATCCACGCTGCATCGTAGCATTGCTCTTTACCAACTAAGTTACCGAGCAGTCGAAATTCTCTTATGTGTTTTTGTTACCTTCGACCTGTTTCGTCGCGTATGTGTATAACCAGAAATAGAGACGAAATAAGGGCCATCCATCCCTGGCAACTCATCAGGCAATTGGGCCTTATATCACTTTTAAATATCAACTCTCGTTTGCACTGAAATTACAAATTAGAAAACTGAAATAGTACAGCGCCGACAGCGACCTATGTGTACGTCTCCGTATATTCCAACAATATCCTGTATTTATTCTAATAAAGATAATATCTCTAATTATGGGGGGCTGTTCCATTCGGTGGTGTGGAAAAAACAGCAAAACATCCAATTACAAAACAAACGGTAACACGTTTCATCGGTAATTAAATATGTAATTTTTCAATTAACGTCCATTATAGCAACGCTCAAGTTAAACTGGTCGATTTGAAATGAAACAATTGACGACACCCGTCAATTGTTTCGAATTCGGGCTGGCCAATCGGAACGCAGTAATGATTTGGCAGAGTAGTTTTCAAACAAATGAAATGACATTTCGTTTCTATTCTAGTTATATACTCGATGATCTTTGTACAGACTTTCGACAATCGTCACCGCTAGTGACATCTAGTGAGAGACATTTGAATAACCTCACCGCGGTCGATACCTTTACAGGTATGACAACTGATGCAGATGTCGATTTTCGACAAATATATTTATTAAGATTTTTCGAGAAATAACTCTACTAGTTTTGTTATGCTAATGAATACAAAGATCGAACACAGAAATATTTCGTCGATCCGGTGGGACTTGAGCCCACGTCGATGCTTTTAAACTACATAATGTTAAAACATATCGCCTTGTAACAATCGATAAACTATTATTCAAATTAGCTTTCGAGCCCGTCTTTAAACGGGTCAGATGTTCAGGCAGATGATAATGACGATCACGTATTTCAGCTACTACGATGGCGAGAAGAGTCAGTTTGTTGTTAATCGATTCCACGGGAAAGAAGAGGTATTTGTGGACAGCGTCAGGTTGTGTGGAGACTTTTCTACGAGAGTGCCGAAGAAGGCTTGCGTCATGCTGAGAATACAGGTATATAACACACAAAAACTAACATACTTGACAGCAAATTAACATAGCCATGGGTTATTTCTCTTCTTATCGTATCGATGGCATACACCAGTTTCCCAACGTGGTCCCTACCGTAGGACTTGGGCGCAGAAGAGTCCTACGGTAAGGGCCTCGGAAGCAAGGGGTGTACTGCATTTGAAAACAAAACCTGAATTATCTATATAAACTACTCTACATACATACATAATTTTTCCTTGTGATTTTTTTGTGATGAGCGTTGAAACTTTTTTATCATGCCAAAGTGGGCGGTGAGCCAAAAAGTTTGAGAACCTATGGCATACACTATACTATTGTGGCCCAGAACTCATGCTCACCGGCCGCGTCGCTAGTAGCCGCCATTAAATCCTCAAGTGGATAGGTCTTAGGGCACGCAAGGTACGATGTGAGGTGGGCCATCGTTTCAATCACACCGTACGAACAATCCGGGTCCGGTACTGTCAAATAACTAATACTCGACCAAATTAAAAGAAGCACGATGCGACTGAAGGGTCATACTTGATGCCGTTTTTTAATTTGGTCGAGTCTATCTATACTTCTGACCGTGTTCGGTCATGGCAACGACTTCTAGTAAATAGCGGAGGGTGGGTTATTACGTCACTTTTCGCGTCGACTTCAGCTTTACCCCGCTCTTCTCTCAACTCGTGAACTTGCCTCTTCACAATCCCTTGCCATTCAGTGCACAGTGCTGCCAAATCTTTCCATTGAGATGGCTAGACGTTGCATCTTGTCATATGTCGCTTCTGAACATCTTAATACCCGAGGATTTGACCACCAGGCTTCAGTCTACCCTCCTCAAGTTCAGAGTAGAAGATGCGCTTCGCCAGTTTTATATTACATAAGTGACAGTAATTGTTTCGGTCGGACGTACATTGGAGAACGCGAGTAGATCCCCAGGTTAGAACAGGTTTCCAGGTTAGGTTTTAGTAGCAGTAGAGCTCCTTATGTAGAGTTCGTCCAGAACCTACCTACCTTACCTATTTCTGCCGCCAAGCAGTAATGTGATTATTACTGCGTTCTGGTTTGGAGGGGTAAGAGTGTTGGTGAAACTACAGGCACATGGAACTTTGGAACTTGTCGACTTATGTCTCAGGGTGTCGGACACAGTGGCAGTGCCCTAAGATCTTTGCGATTTAAAACTCTGAGTGGCACTGTAACGGTTATGGATAGTCGTGTCGCTTACCAACAGGCGCACGATTTGTTCGTCTCGTCAGGTATTATTTAAAAAAGAAAACTATCCGAAAATCCCCACTTGTAGAAGTTGCCCTGACTCCGGCCAATCTGAGTTCGAAGCCTATTTAAAGACTTCCGGATCGGCCGTGGCCATCCGGGAGGAAGACTCAGAAGGCGGGACAAAGGTGGACGTTACTTTAACGCGTCAAAGATTGCATCTTGCCTGAGCTGGTTCAATGTTCAGAAGATAGTTCATAGATCAGAAGACATTGTGAATTAAAAAGAAATTGTAAAGTGGTCAATGGCAATGGTGCCAGACAACCACCCCTATTACCTGGTCTTAAACTAGGGAATTCCTGGCACCATGAATGCCAGAGTAGCGGAATTCAGTCCGGGTCACTACCCAGAACACCCAGACTATCAATTTAGAAAAGTTCCATTCTCAATAGACCTACAGGCAATCAAACCCGGGCCCTCTTTATCTAGCGTCCACAATGCCGCTAGGCCACCGAGGTCGTCGTTAGTAAATTTATTTTGGAAAAATATTTTTTGTATGAAACACTTAATAAATAATCTCTACTGAGAGAGTACTATATAAACCGACCTCAAAAGTTCGTGGAATTACATCTATTTGCCAAGTTTTATGGAAATCGGTTACTGGATAGTGCGTGAAACCGGATTCATCCCCTAGTTTGCCACTCTTAGAGCTGGAATATTTTCTTCAAATATAAATGGTACCAATACTGAAGTAACCTTTATCCAGCAAACAAAGAATCATCAAAATCGGTTAACAAATAATAGACATTTACCGGAGTTATCGCGTAACATACATAAAAATACAGTCGAATGAGAAGAACCTCCTCCTTTTTTTGAAGTCGGTTTAGAAAAAGTTGTTACAAGCTGAAACACATTAAAATTCTACTTACAAATGAAGCATTAGGATTGATCATTTTACATTAGTAGTTTAGTAGATGTAGTAACAATGTCATACAATTATTGTATGTATACAAATATTTAATGGTGCTTTCTCTTCCAGCGTAACCCAACAGTAGGTGACAAGTTCGCATCCCGCGCTGGTCAAAAGGGAATTTGCTCCCAGAAGTGGGCAGCGGAGGACCTCCCGTTCACGGAATCTGGTCTCATCCCGGATATTCTGTTCAATCCCCACGGCTTCCCCTCCCGTATGACTATCGCCATGATGATCGAGTGCATGGCCGGAAAGGCAGCCAGCTTACATGGACATGTGAGTATGATCTACTGGGAACACATATATCTTTTTTCACAGGTGTTACAATATTTTTTCCCGTAATAAAATGTGTTGCTACGATGACAGGTTTGTTTAGAAAGGAAACAAAACGCTTAATTGTTTTTATTTTTCTTACTAACCTTTTCAGTTAGAAACTATCAGATCGAAGGGATTTTTATTTGCGTTAGATTTTGTATTAATAATTATAATAGTCTAGTTAAATAATTTCACAAACAATAAATGAATATCATGATAGTAAAACATCATGATATCTAATAAAATCAATATTAGAATTAATACAGCGACATCTCACGCCAGTCATGGCTGCCATACAAACTTTTTTGGCGACAGATAAAGATTTTTTTAAATGAAATGGCCTTGCTCTTGACCACTACCTAGCTCTGGAGCAAAGATAGGATGTACGATGGAACGAGCTTGACCAGAAGATGCCTATTCAGTCGCACCTTAAAGATATCCGGGTTGTATGAATTCGGAAATACAGACGCAGACAGGGAATTCCTGGGCTGTGTGCATAATAAAAGATGATGAAAAGCGCATAGTTCGCCTGAAGGGAATATCGACCAAGTAAGGATGATATCCCGCCGTACGTCTGGATCTCTGGTAAAAGGGGGCGGGCGGGATGAGCTGATGGAGCTCATGGGCACACTTTACTCTAATTTGGCATCGCCTCAATAATAATTTGGAGTAAAATTGGGGAATTTTACTCCAAATTATCGTACATGGTTTGTGAACTGTTAATGGGTTTTAAATAAATAAATAAATAAATACATAACTACCTCCGTGGCCGAACGGTTACCATGCCGGACTGCCACACAGGGGTCCCGGGCTCGATTCCCAGGCCGGGAGCAATATTTGTATGCCCTACATTTATTTATCTCGTGAGTTTGGGTGTAATTTGTGGTAGTCTATGTGTGTGTCCATCTCACCCGCGATACAGGGTTTTCCTAGTGCGGGGCTATGAGTGTGTCAAGAAAAAAGAATCAACTTTGAATTTATTTGTTTTCATTAATTTACACATTTTGTATACAAAAACAGGTCCACGATGCAACTCCTTTCCGTTTCAACGAGAAGGATACAGCTATCAACTATTTCGGCCGATTACTCGAAGCGGGAGGGTACAATTACTACGGCACAGAGCGAATGTACAGTGGAGTAGACGGAAGGGAAATGACGGCGGATATCTTCTTTGGTGTTATTCATTACCAGAGGCTGAGGCATATGGTCTCTGACAAGTGGCAGGTACGTTGGACTGAAATACAAATTAATAACAATACAAAAGTACCAAATAGGTGAGACTATGACTCCAGTACAGAGGGCCATACCTATTTCTGCTGCCAAACTGTAAGAATTGCTGTGTTCTGGTTTAGAACACAATTCTTGATCCTGATGAATTTGTTAGCTTTACGCGATATTATGATATGTATTTAGAAGAAAATTTTTGGGTAATTAATTCTAAATATTTATTATAATAAATGTTATAAATTAATTATAAATATTAAAAAGAAATATTATTGTGAGTCAAGGTCCATGTTACATTATCAAGCAAAGAAAGTAGTTTGGAGAGTTTTCTAAATTATTTCAAACATTAAGATCGCTTCAACTATTCTATACTTATACAGAGAATGAAAAGATAACCATATGTCAGGCTTATTCTGTATTTCTGTCTTTTTTACTATACCACGCTTACTATACACTCTTGTGAGTGTATCACCGCAACAAAACAAAACACAAACTAGTTTGAACACGTGTGTGACGCCCCGCTCGAAACCCACTGCTAGGGATGCACGATTTTTTGTTTTGGATCGTAATGGATCGATAGGCTTCTGAATCGATCTCATAAAAATCGTTTCAAAATTAATTTCGATTAAAAAACTTTTGACAGCTTTTTTGGCTTCAGTCGGTTACGACTTTCATTTATAGTGATACTAGCCAATGAGAAAAGACGTTTAGATTACACAGAAGTAGCGACAATCACCAAATATTGTAAGACTCACTTAGATATTACCAAACTGGTTTTCATTTCATTAAAAAACAGGGGTTCAGAAAAAATTGTTTTGTTTAAATTATGAGTATGATCTAGACGACTCGTTTCGCCCTAATGTTGAATCGATTTACTTAAAATTCGCATTGAAATGAATCAATTCAAAAAATCACTAGATCGTATACACTTGAATCGATTTGCATAAAAATCGAATCGTAATGTGCAACCCTACCCGCTGCTGGTCCCGCGCCTCTCGGCCTGCACTCAGGACACCACTACGCGTATGCACGTGTTGAACATGAACGACACACGCCCCGCCGGACGCTCGATAGAGCGGGCACTATTATTATTTATTTATTTATAAAGCATTGGCTTCAGAGCCATCAGCTCAATGATAACAAATAATCAAGAAACGTACAACGTAATACACATAAACTAAAAATTAATTCGTGTAAAAAATGACTATTAAAACCCGCCATTTTGTGTCGTACCAAAAAAAGCGCGGGCACTCAGGCCGTACACTGTTTTATTGCCTGTAGGTTCGAACAACCGGCGCAGTAGACGCGCTAACCCGCCAGCCCGTGAAGGGGCGACGCCGCGGCGGCGGTGTCCGTCTGGGAGAGATGGAGCGCGATGCGCTTATCTCGCACGGAGCCGCCTTCCTGCTGCAGGATAGGCTGTTCCATTGCTCGGATAAGAGCGAGGTCGGTACACTTTTGCACAAACTAGTTAACTGACTTTAAAAAAAGGAGGAGGTTCTCAAGTCGACTGTATTTTGTTTGTATGTATGATACGCGACTTGTGAACCGATTTTGACGATTCTTTTTTGTTGGAAAGAGGGTACCTGGTCCCATTTAAATTTGAAGAAAATATTCCACCTCTAAGGGTGGTTAAATTTGAAGAAAATATTCCACCTCTAAGGGTGGCCAACTAGGAGATGACTCCGGTTTCGCTCATATTCCGTTAACCGATTCCAATAAAACTTGGCGAATGGATCTAATTCCACGAACTTTTGTTGTGCGAGGTGTTTTTTGTAGTACTCTATACTGAGATTATCTTCTCGTAAGGTTCGGTATAACTGTTGATCCGAGTTTGTGTGAAAAATCGAATTAAAGGCGAGTCACATAGATCTATGCTAGATCAAATGGTTTAGGTATTTACTGTTAAATATTGGTCTTATAATATGCAATACACCTAAGGAAATCGTCTATAGAATGTGCTAGTTTATTACATGATGGTTGTACTTCATCCGATCTTATAAAACCCTGAAAACAGGCTGAAATAAAATCTCAACGATTATTTAATAATAAAATATCTAACTTTGTATATAATTTTTACACGGCGATATTTCTCTTTAAGTACCGCAGAGAACCTGCTAAATTCTGATTTTCAACTGAAGTCCTATTAATTAATAATCATCCTCTCGTGTAACACATAGCACATTCTTTAAACAATATCCTTTGGTGTATCGTATATTTTTTGTAAGACCGTTATTTAAAAGCATCCACTATATTATAACCAGAAATAGAGACGAAATGTCATTTAATTAGTACGAAAACTATTCTGCCAAATCATTACGGTGGTGACAACTGCGCTCCGATTAGCTAGCCCGAATTCGATACAACTGACGGGTGTCGTCAATTGTTTCACTTCAAACATACCAGTTTAACTTGAGCTTTGCTATAATGGACGAAAATTGAAAAATTACGTATTTAATATTTAATTACCCATGAAATGTGCTTCCGTTTGTTTTGTATTTATTTATTTATTTATTTATTTATTTATTAGGCACACCAACAGTTACTACAATAATTCTAGAGTAAGTAATACATTTCACAAACTAATCTAATTGCGTAACCATTTATAGGCGAGCATCTCAAGCAAAAATAAACATGTGTGTATAAATTAAAAGGAAAAAGAAGAGGAAACAAAAAATAACAAAAACAATTTTAAGACCACGAAACTAACTTAAAAAGATATATATATTTTTAAGCAGAATACAAAACGCAACAAATACTTAACCATGTTATCTGGTCGAACCAAGAAAAGTAAGAATTTTGTTTCTAAAACCTAGCCGCGAGTCAATAAACATGTTTGGAGCAGTCATTATATAGATTAGACATGCGAGCTACAGGGGAGTTACAAGCCAGTACCGTTCTACGACGAGGCGGGTGAAAAAGCCTTACATGAGATCTCGGAAGTCTGGCAGGCATCTTAAAATTTAAATTAGCAAGCAATAGTGGGCAGTCAATCTTATATAGGAAAACCATATCTAAAAGTTCTCTGCGCTTCGAGAGAGACGTTATTTTGAAATGCGCAAGTCTCCTGTTGTACGATTTAAATTTTTTTGCAAGACCCACAGAGAATGACATGTGCCATAAAAAGCGCTTTTGCACCCGTTCTAAATGTAAAGAGTTAACAGCATAGTGGGGTCGCCAAACCACGCTTCCATATTCTAGTATACTCCTAACTAAGCCGTTGTAAATAAGTATTTTCGCTCGAATGCTGCGAAAGATTTTACTGTTTCTTAATACGAAGCATCCTGGACGCTTTATTAACAGTTGAATCAATATGCGGTTTAAAAGTAAGCTTTTTATCAATTATCACGCACAGTCCATTTCAGTTAAAAAAGTTCCTTCCAAAGTTTAAGCTGATGGGAAAACATGCCATTAGACTTGCACCAAAAGCTTAACTTACCAAGGTCACTTTGTAGTAAAGGAATATCATTTACTGAATCTTAACTAACTTAAGATCATCAGCATATAATAATGTGTTGAGAATTTAAAAATATCAGGGATGTCATTTACAAATATATTAAAAAGAATAGAAGAAGATACCAAGATGGGAGCCCTGAGGAACTCCAGAGGTTGTATGTCAGAGGAGAATCCATATACCACCGCGTAATATTTTTGTAATTAGATATTTTGCTGTTTTTCCCACATCACCGAATGGAACGGGCCCCATTGTTAGATATTATATTTATTATAATAAATACAGAATACTTTTGGAATATACGAACACGTACACACAAGTCAGTTGTTGGCGCTGTATTATTTCAGCTTTCTAATTTGCGATTTCAGCGCAAACGCCAGTTGATGTTTAAAGTGATATGAGGCTAGTGATACGAGTAATAAGTCTAATCCCTGGCAGGATGGATGGCCCTTATTTCGTCTCTATTTCTGGCTATATACTCGATGTTTAATAGTAAACACCTAAACCATTAGATCTAGTAAAACAGTATTTCCCGCTTCTCCTCAAGTGAATCGCCTTAAATTGAGACGTCAATTGAGACTTCTTTTTTTAAAAAACTTAAATTTTGTTTAACTGGTATAAATAATGGTTAAAATATAAAAAGGGATACGTGTGTTTTTTTTTTTATTACCGTGTGCAAAGGCCACTTCTCTCGACTTCCACAGTTCCCGGATTGGCGCATGATATTTAAAATACAAAAATGAATTAATTTCAAAGGATTCCACAGGCAATAATCTGCACGAAATGCGGTACGCTGCTCGGCCCGATCACAGGCAAGACGGAAGGCATAACGGAGACGTGTCGGCTCTGCCGCGAAGGCGACCTCGTCTGCATCGCCATCCCGTACATATTTAAGTTCTTTGTGACGCAGCTCGCTGCAGTCAACATAAATGTTAAGATCAATTGTTCGCAGAAGGAGATCTCTTGTTAAAGTTTATGTTGTAATTACTAAGAATAAATTGTAGGTATATATAGGTATATGTATTTCCTTGATGCATTATAAATTGTGGTTGTGATTCTGATGTTGTCTTAAATGTACTCTAAGAGCAACGCACCCGTCCGACCGACCTCTGAGCATCGCGGGGCATTTCTCTCTGCGTCTTAAGAGCATTGAAATTTATGCCTTATTTCAACGGTAATAGCTGAAAATATTACATCACTGCCTTGCGGTCAGCCTATTTGCGCTGGCCCTAAGGCTTGTAGCAGCTGTACCATATCATACTCGACTACAGCTCTCGTTTGGTACTATAGTATAAATCAGAAGTAGATCGACCCCTCCTACGTAAAGTATCGTATGTCGAAATTGCCAAGTTTACAAGGGAGCGTTTTAAAGTTCTGCATTCACTGAAATGAGCATAACACGTGACTTTAGCATTTCTCAGTTTCATTCGGCAAAACTCGTCACTCACATTCAGTGTTATAACACAGGTTAGATGATCTATTAGATAATCACCTTTCAGTGAATTCAGATCTTTGAAACGCTCCCCTGTAAACTTGGCAATTTTGACATATGATACTTTACATAGGAGAGGTCAAGATGTCCAAAATAATTATAAAAACGCACTACAGAGACAAGAAAACATCCTTAGTTCGAGAAACGAAACACGAATGATATCAATGACAACAAAATGGCGGCACAAAAAATGTTCGTGATCCCGATTGTGTTACCAGTGCCATAAAATTATTGACGATCTTAAAAATAGGCGTTTATTATAATTACTGTATTAAACGAAATAACGCATGAAATACATATTTCAAAATATATATTTCAAAATGTGAATTGTTGTTCCGATTGTAATCGACAGAAATAGAAAACTACCATTTAAAATGCATTTTTTGCCCGGTTATCCCCTTTGTTTACATTTTGGACATGGATCATTAAATGTGCTGAAGCATACTTACAGATACAAACTGTATACAGTTACATTATAGTAAAAAACAATGGCCAATCACTATCAAATTTATTTGTGCCGTTAGTAACAAGCTGAGGTAACTATGTATACTTTAAATAATTTATAACATTCAGGCGTTACTTTAAGGAAATCCATGTTAATAAAAAAAGGACGTAAATTACTGCTGTTTCCGTTTGTAACTGCATGTAAAAAGTATTCAACTTCAACAACAATCACTCAATCAAATGGTTTTAATACAATTGTAATACATACATACAAATGTAATACATTACTAAAATACTTAATGCTTGGCTACTTAACAAAGAATGTTATATTTTTAAAAGAATAAACACTCAAGATAGATATTAAATAGATAGATACAAATGACGTTATAAAACAATTTCGTTAACATACTGCACTCAAAATTTATTCTCGGAAGCAACTTCATGCAGATAAGCATACACCTACACCCCGCAGTGGGTGAACTCAAGCTATGGATCATGATGAAATTCGTATTCAAATTAAATTTGGACCAAGTATACGAAAATTGCGAACCTGTCGAAATTTTCGTATACTTTAAAAAAATAAAAACAAGTTATTAAAACAGAAAGATCGATAAAAGGAATCTTCTAAAATTCACATTTATTTTACGTCACAAAGTTAATATAACAATATTCATGTGAATAACGGCGGTGTACAAATGTACATATCATGAAACGCAACTTTCGTCCACTTGATCACGAACACAAAATTTTGACGAAAAAAGCTATTTACATAATTTGGTTCAGAATTTAATATTCTGTTTAATGATCAATGGTCGGAATAAGGTGTTCCAAATAAGTAAGGACTGACATAGAATGATTAAAACCACCAAATATGTTAGTTAATTAACTTTTTCGAATTTCAGATTAGATGTTAATAGTTTTAATGCATCGTAGGTAGAGATGTGTAAATAATGCGAGTAATATTATAATTGTGATATCACGTGACAGCGTAATGTGAGATCACATATCATTTTGGAAAATGAAGCATCACTCATAACATCACCCGACACTATACCGAATATATTACATTTTATTTAATAATTATTGAAGTACGATATTATTCATTTCCGTTACAATAATTATAAAGGCTACGTAAATACTTCTAACAGTGAATAATCTAAAATTTAACCATATTTGTTATTGTAAAGCCTAGATAGTTTATGAACGCATCCTAATTAGACAATAAAGGTAACTTTGAGAAAGCGCAAACAAAATTAAATCAGCCAATTTACTGTTAGTTATGTACCTTTTAACAGTTAGAAATTTTGATTAAAAAAAAATAAAAATGTAGCAAAAATGTAATGAAACGTAATTTTCGACTCAAGGTCCCTAGCAACACTGGAGTGATGTACGATGCCAAGGTATTGCTTATAACACATCTCATTTTTAGTCTGTAATATTGTGGATAATAGTGATATCACAGTGAAATATTACTTTTACAGGAATGTAATGTGATATTGTAATCATATGGTTGCGGCATTCTTTATGGGAGACCTATGTTTACCAGTGGATGTCTTTCGGCTGAAATGATGACGATGATGAATGTGATATTACATTATACGTTTAATATAATCCTACTTGCATTTTGAGCAAGCATATGTATTTTCTGTTATTTATTTATTTTTAAGTATTTTGTTTATTTATTACTATCATTTGGATATCTGTTTTACACTATTTTTATTATTCTTCTTCGTTTTTCATTTGTGTGCAATATATGTTTTAAATACGTATTCTGTTGCGCCCTCAATTAATTACTATCTCACAGTGTTTCCCGTCACCCGAAGGTTGCCTGGAAGAGATTGCTATATAGCAATAAGGCCACCTGTTGTACCTGTCTTTTTATTTTTTGTATAATTTTGTATTTGTCCCAGTGAGCAATAAAGAATATTTGTATTGTATTACTTTCCAGGCACTGTTTTGCGCATGTCTAATTGTAGGATAGTAAAAGTATCATCTACAATATCCCTAATCGTTAAAACATTGATTGTAGCTTATTTAAAAATCTTTACGTAGGTGAAAAGTTACGAATCTACTGCAATTTTTACATTCCCAGGTGAGTAGTTTTAGCAATGCAGTACTATTTCCGGCAATCAAGAATTATAAGTAATTAATTGATATTTTTAACACCCTATACCGGTAGTTTTAGCAATGCAGTACTATTTCCGGCAATCAAGAATTATAAGTAATTAATTGATATTTTTAACACCCTATACCGG